CCAGAAGTCTGTTGCTTGGAGGAAGAGCAAGCCATTTTTCTTTTTTCATTAAAATTTTGCTAACAGTTGAGCAGTCTATGGAGGGCTAATTCTCTTATTAAAATGGTTTGCTATTTCACCATGCTTCGCTTTCGGATGTCGTTTAGCATATTCGCAAGTTTCGCGTTTATTATCTAGATTCTGTTGAGACCTTGTTTTGGATGAACTCTTGCACACGACATCGAAATTGAGAACGCTTTCGTATATAATTAAACTCCCGTAAATTGGACCGTGGCGTTTTTCTTTAGACATTGTGAAGCTGATGACTTTTTTTTTCCTCGAAGTGTATATTTATACACGTAATAGTAACTATGCAGTAATGTTGAATTGTTATTGTTATACAATAGTTTAGATTTTCGATCATGTGAATTTAAATGATCGACACAAGTAACTTCTCTTATCAATCTATAATCTACATTTTAATTTCGATAATAATAATAATAACTATAACATCTTTCACTAAAGATACAAACTTGGTATTGGCTATTACATGGTACGCCATCTGTCACTCGTCAGGGTAGGGGTGCGACGGCAACTTACTAAATGAATTAGAACGCGTTGTTGTTGAAACTTTTGATATAAATGAAAAGTTGTTCGTGAGAATTAATGATAATGATCCAAATGGATATAACCAAGCCACATTCGTGGGAATTAATTGATAAAACTGTGTATGAAAAAGATGAGTAGATTCATTATTTCTTTTAATTAAATCCAGTGTCTACTTTTAATAATAATTAACGCTGGACCTGGAATAAATGAAATTTGAAAAGAAAGAATTCGTGAGAATTCATAGACAAGAATATTAGTAATAATATATGAAAACATGAGTAGATACCATATTAACACTACTTGCAATATCTAACATTCATTCGAAATAAATACAATTTCTAACTTTTTCTTTTGAAGTCATTTTCGAGATACTTTTCTGCTAAAAACTATTAACATCATATCAAAGGTAATGATATTTGTTATATGATACAACCGTTACGAACATACTTTGTATTAACATAGTTTATTTCAAGCCATGTCAAACGCAACACAAAAAGGAACTGAATTCGAGGGGAGGATATATAATCTTCTGAGAGGAGCTGGATACGATGTGGAGTGGAGAACGGGGTGAGTTTTCACTGAGTATCTTGTAATGGTTGTATCCGAAGTTACGCTGCCACTAGGTGTAAATCGGAGGATTGAAAGCACATTTGTGAATTGTTTTATCACATAATCATTTAATGTAATATCTGAAGGTACGCTGCCACTAGGTGTAAATCGAAGTATTCGAAAACATATAGGGTGTAAATGAATCGAAGCTTCGTTACCGAAAGCCGACGGTGAGAGTACTCACGGGCGTGGTGAATAGGATATACTGATACATTATATTGGTTGATACGATGATTTACTAATTGCAAACTTCGATCTCCGTTACTGACAAAGCTGACCGTGTGCAACCGGGCTGTGGTGAATAGGATACATTGACCAGTTGAATCGAAAGCGCTTCGTGGCCACAGCTTGCGAAAGTCGCCAGTCAGGTACCCAGTCCTGGCGTACGGTGGACGGCCTGCTGTGAACGTTCTTCGATGGTCTTAAACCAATGATACATATACTCATTAAATTCTTAATTATAGGATGAAATCTGGTGATGGCGGTGTGGATCTGATTGTGTGGCGTAAAGACTGTGTGGTCTTTATTCAATGCAAGGATCATGCAGACAAAATTGGTAAGATTTATTTTATCCAAGTACAAAAATTTTAATTAACCTGAAGAATTATTGATATTCTATTAGGAAAGGGACCAGTACAACGCTTAGTGGTGTGCTCTTGAAACGATCGAAACGTTATTTCGGGATTGTAGTGGTCCCGAAGGTTGCTGAGGGGGCAGTACATGAGGCAAATACTAGTCCTCGTCCACTAATATTGTCGTATGAAGATACAATAGTTCAGGATCTATGGATGTTGATTAGATCTAGGTTGGAGGCATTAAAAGTTGAAGAGAATGAAATTGTAACAAGGATGAAGAGTGAAATGGAGGGGGTTGTGGAATCATGGCAGTTAGTAATAGAACGAAGAGAGTTAGAGGCGGGAAATGAATTGATGCGGGCACAAATGAAAAATGCGATGATGACGAGAGCAAACGAATTACTTATGAGAGAGAATGAGGAGCTTGTACGGCGAGGGGATAGAGGAATATTTTTCTTTTTAATAATTTTTTCTATGTTATTATATATAATTATCTATAATAAAAACTTTTCGTGTTTGTATTCATAAAATTGCTGATTTTGAGAATGCTAGTATTCTAATCGCATTTGTCGTCTAATAAAATAAATTACTATCAGAATTTATAAAAAAACTGCAAATAATCATTGGACTTTTTTTCATTTATTGGAATTAACGTTTAAAATCGAAACTTATGCTAACCTTGCCGCTGCATAGGCTGAGGCACTGTCTGTCACTACTGCAATATTTTAATACCATTGTTCTTTGCTCGCATAAAAGTCTCGCTGATTTTTTGGACTACATCTATTGCACAAGCACCATCCCCTGAAATATCTTCTGCCAGTGTATTGTTTAGTAAGGAATGTGAGATAACGCTTCGCTTTGACATTTATTGGCGGTTATTATTGGTTATCCTAAAAAGGCAACTTTTCCATTCGCTAATGGAGCAATGGATCATACTCCATTGATTCCATTCACTCCATTGGATGTCAATGGAATGCTCCATTGCCAACAACCTGCCTGCTTGGAGTCAATGGAGCCAATGGAGTACAAGCTCCATCACTCTATTCCATTGAATTCTGAATAGAGCAGATATATACCAAGGCTGGAGATGGCTGTATTATTTTGATGCATACCATCATAAAGGGACATTGTTGTGCAAGGGGAAAGCTCTTTCGGAGTTACGGTACTGAGGAGTAGGGTGTTGCTAATTAATGGCTTATAATTAGCAAGCACGTGCTTACGCGATTGTAAACACCACCCGAATCCAACGCGTACTTATAAACATCCTTCCCCCACCCCACAATACGCACTCTTTCTTCTTTCTTTATTTCTCTTTCCTACGCGTTATTCGCCGCTTCCCACGCAGTAACAGGTTTGTTCCAATCAGATTTATTGTATGTGCGACACAAACATACCTTATGGCGATGGCGCACCGGCGTACCGGCGTACTAACATTCGCTTCATTCCCTCCTCCATGTCATTCGTCTTGCCGCATTTCTTACATTATGGAGACAGCAAGTGCGAAAACCTCCCGCAAACGACGAACCAAGAAAAAACTAAAAGAAGGTATTAGTCATAACGTCTGTCAGTCTGCACAAGAAAATTTTTCAAACGTTTTCCGCTCACACGCTGCATTAGTACCATTTCTCATGTGGATTCTGCAAGAGAAAGGCAATCAACTCGTTGTTGTAGAAGATTTAAGTCCTACCTTATATGTGGGTCAACTCCCTGCATGTCTCAAGAAGGGAAACTATTTTCCAATACCTCAAGGTGTCATGGATAGTCAATGGCATTTCTTCCAGAATGGCAAAGAAGTTTTTCGTGGTACCAAATTGGAAGAATTGGAAACGTCTCCAGAAAATCCACTTGTTCTCCGTTTTTGTGAGTACACACATTGCTATCTCTGCTGCATAACTTTCTAACTTTTGTACACTTGTGACTAATTTGTTTGATTATTCCTTCTTGTAGCTGGTGAGTGACTTTTTAATTTCAACCATGTTGCAACCCATTCATCTACATTGCTTTCATCAT